CTGGCCACTCAGCACGCACATGTAGGGGGGCTGCTGTGGGCAGCAGGTCCCAGCCAGTGCTTCTGGTTCTAGCGAAGGTGTCACTGTCCCCATGATACCCCTGGGCCTAAAGGAGACCACGGAATTGGACTGGGCCACCCCGCTGAAGGTAAGCGCTGGCGACAACTTCTGAGTGACAGCCTTGTCCTGGTCCAGGTGTCTCTGAACAGATGAGGAAACAGGGCCACAGGGAGGTGGGGCTGACTCGGGGCCACCAGGGACCCAGCATCCCACCCTGGGCAGGCCTGCTGAGCTGGGACTCTGCCCTAGGATAATGTAATGGGAGCCCCAGGACAACTGCAGGGACCCGGGGCTCTCCTGCATAGGGTTCCCTGGCTCAGGGCCACCACCCACCCATGGAGCTGTGCTATGGGGCCATAGCTACCCAGTGTTTGGGAGGGCTCAGACCCAAGAACAGAGCCGTGTCCCATCTGCCACTGCCTGGCAGGGCCCCGAGGGAAAATGAATTGACTTTGTGCCTCAGTGTCTGAGTCTCCAAGTGACACCTGGCACCTGCCTCTTGGGATTGCCATGGGATTGATAAGGGAATTGTGTAAAGTTAGCACCAACAAGAATCCACGACTTCCCACCGCATGCCAGGCCCTCAGCCTCACAAGCCTTCTGCTGAGGGCTTCGAGGGCCCTGGACCCATGTGGGCAGCTGGCCTGCTCAGTGCTGGGACCTTCCCCTCCCTGGGGCAGGCTGCCAAACACAGGGTGCCCTGGAGGCCAACACCTGTCCTTCTGTCAGGAGCTGATTTCAGGGCACTTTGGAGAGGACGGTGCCTCCTATGAGGCGGAGATCAGGGAGCTGGAGGACCTGCGGCAGGTGGGTGGCTACACCCCTCCCACCTCTCCTCCTGCAGCGCTGACACTGAAGCATGGAATTGGAGCCAGTGTAGCCTCGAGCAGCAGGAGGCCCTCCTCTTGGGAGGACATCAGGGAGACAGGCACCCCAGTGTGTAGGGAAGGGCCCAGGAGCCACAGATGGCCACAGGGGTACTCTGTTCCTGTTCCCTCCTCAGAGCCCTACCTGCTCTCTGGACTCAGGCTGCCTGGCCTGGTGCCCATGGTCCCCTGGGGCAGCATGTGCTTCCACAGGCTGATGCCCAGGGGATTTCTAGGGCAGTGGGGTGGGGTGGGGACTGGGCAGGGGCCCAGCCAGCTCCTGCCCTGCAGGCCATGCGGACCCCCAGCCGAGATGATGCGGGCCTGAAGCTGCTCGCAGCCTACTACAGCCAGCTCTGCTTCCTGGAGGGACGCTTTTTCAGCCCTGCCCGGAGCCTCGGGCTGATCTTCCACTGGTAGGGGCCTGGGATGGTGGGGTACCCTGGGGAGGAGGGCCTGGTGCCATGGGAACCACACCCAGCCTGACCCTCTACAGGTACGACTCTCTCACGGGGGTCCCTGCACAGCAGAGGGCCCTGGCGTTTGAGAAGGGCAGCGTGCTGTTCAACATCGGGGCCCTGCACACACAGATCGGGGCACGCCAGGACCGCTCCTGTGCGGCGGGTGCCCGCCGGGCCGCTCAGGCCTTCCAGCTGGCTGCTGGTGAGAGCAGCCCAGACCCTGCAGAGGGCCCACATCCCACCTTCATTGGGCAGAAACCCAGGGCAGGTGGGACACGCTGGCCCTTCCTGGGGGCCCTGCCATGTGAGTACCCACTCTGCCCACAGGGGCCTTCAGCCTCCTGAGGGAGAACTTCTCCCAGGCACCGAGCCCAGACATGAGCACCACCTGCCTCTCCACGCTGGAGCGACTCATGGCCACCCAGGCCCAGGAGTGTGTCTTTGAAGGCCTTTCACTGCCAGCCCTGGCCGTCCCCCACGACTGCCTGGCTCAGCTGCACCTGGCTCAGGAGGCGGCCCAGGTAAGGCCAGGGAGCCCTGCCCAGGACCCTCAACAACAGGCCCTCCACTGGCAGGAGGCCTGGGAGAGCATGGAGTCTGCGGACAGGACCACAGGTCGGAAAAGCTAGTCAAGAGACAGAGACGGGTACCCCCCCCCCCCGGCCTCCCCAAAACCAGCTGCTGCTGTTCATAGCGTCCCGAGTCCCTGCCTCAGGGGACAGCATGATCAGGGCAGGAACTGGGGCCCTGAGCGCCCAGGCTATGGAGAGGCAGGAGGCTCAGGCTGGCTGCAGGGCCCCACTAGCTTTGTCTCTTGAGCTCCAATGTGCCCACACATCTGCTGGCAGGTGGCAGCTGAGTACAGGCTTGTGCACCAGGCCATGGCCCAGCCCCCTGTCCAGGACTACGTGCCTGCCTCCTGGACCACCCTGGTGCACGTCAAGGCTGAACATTTCCACGCCCTGGCCCACTATCACGCAGCCACAGCCCTCTGTGACGGCTCCTGTGAGTGCCCTGCCCCGTGTGCCTGTGTGCCTGCCAGGTGCCTGCTCACAGCTCATGGCCTCTCTGATCCCCAGTGGCTGCTGAAGGAGAGCTCCCCGCGTATGAGCAGGTCTTCCAGCCCCCAACCCCTGGCGAGCCCCACAGCCCGACGCTGCCCCAGCAACCCGAGGAGCGCAGAAAGCTTGGTGAGGCACAGAGGGCTCTGTGCTCACGCCCTGGGCCAGCTGCCGCAGTGTGCTCCTCCCCCACCTGCCCCCAGTCCTGCCCCAGTGGGTAACTGTGGAGAGCGGGGCCTTAGCAGTGCAGGGCAGCCCCGCAGATGGGGGTGCCCTAGGGGAAGCTCCACCCCAGCCCTGCTGTTTGCACCTCCCGACCCCCGACCCCGTAGCCCACACCCTACCTGCCACATCCTGGGGGCAGGGGGCAGGGTTGGCCTCCAGGGGCCAGCAGGCGGGCCATCAGCGTGTGACGATGCTGTGCTCTGTGTGCAGCCAAGGCCCACCTGAAGCGCGCCATTCTGGGCCAGGAGGAGGCGCTGAGGCTGCATGCTTCATGCCGTGTCCTGCGCAAGGTGGACCTGCTGCAGGCTGTGGTGGCCCAGGCACTGAGGCACTCGTTGGCCAAGTACTCGGAGCTCGAGCGCGAGGATGACTTCTTTGAGGCCGCTGAGGCCCCAGACATCCAGCGTGAGCAGCCTGGGCCCATCCAGATGGGTGTGCCCTCAGCCTGGCTGGAGGAAGATGGCTGAGCCCTGAAGTGCCCCTCAAAGATGCAGTCTCCAAGGCCGCATGCAGGACCTCTGGGGCCAGGGAGGGCGGGAGCTCCAGCTGGCCCGAGGAAGCACCTGGATCGAGACCCCCTGCTCTCTCCCTTTCCACCCTTTCCCCTCTGACTCCTGCCCGGGGGGACCCTGTGGTCAGACAGAGACAGCTGGGCTTCAGGGAGGGGTCCTGGAGCAGGTGGAGGGGTGCCTGTTCAGGGACCTGGGGCAGCTCTACCCTCCAGCTACCAGAGGGCCGTGTGCACCTAGTGTTGCCCACTCCTCTAGGGTGGAGTCAAGTCCCTCTGGTGGAACCAGCGGCCTGAGGCCCCTGAGCCTTGGGCTCAGCCCTGCTCCTCCATTCCTTCCCACCCCTCTCAGCCAAGACCCACCAGAAGTCCGAGGTCAGGGTGCCCAGCCTGTCCTTCATGAAGGTGGCCGACATCTTTCACCGTCTGGTGAGCAAGCTGCTCCTGCCCTCTCTCTGTACAGCAGGCTTGGGCATTAGGTTCTGCCCTGTATGTCCACTGGCAGGAGCCCCCAATGGTCCCTGGGTGGTGGCCCAGCCCTGTGCCTCCTACTGGCACCTCCCTGGCTCCTGTCCTGAGAGGTACAGGTGCTTGCCAGGCCGGGCCCCTCGGACTGCAGCCAAGCCAGCCTCTGACCCCTGCCTCCTCCAGGGACCCCTGCCCGTGTTCTCAGCCAAGAATCGGTGGCAACTGGTGGGGCCCATCCACCTGACCCGGGGAGAGGGCGGCTTCGGCTTCACGCTTCGGGGAGACTCCCCCGTCCTTATTGCTGCTGTGGTTCCTGGCGGGCAAGCTGCGGTAAGGGCCCGCTGGCCTTGGAGGCTGGGTCCCCAGGACTCCAGCCAGAGCCTGCTCTTGCTCCTCACTGGTCTGTGTCCCCAACAGGCAGCTGGCCTCCAGCAGGGTGACTACATCGTGTCCGTGAACGGGCAGCCCTGCAAGTGGTGGAGGCACGCGGACGTCGTGGCGCAGCTGAGGGAGGCGGGCGCGGCGGGCGTGAGTCTGCAGGTGGCTTCACTGCTGCCCAGACATGAGCCACGCAGCACAGTGAGTCCTGGGGCCTGGGCCTGGACCTCCCTGGTGCTCATGAGGCCTCTGAAAGAGGAGCGGTGGGCAGTGGCCCTCACTGGGGTGGCCTTCTGGCGAGTGGCCACCTGTGCTGCTCTATCACCTGGTGGCTGGCCTCCCCCCAGAAAGGCCCCCCACCTCAGCAGGATCCGAGGCTTCCAGCTGGGTTCCTCCAGAGGTCACGTCCACCTGGTGGGTCCACCCAAGGACTGGGTGACGAGCAGCAAGGGGGACAGAGCCCCTGGACATGCCCCCAGCACGCCTGCCTCCTCCCTGGCTCACTGCAGGCCACCCAGGTGGTAGCTGACCACATCCTTCTCTGTCCTGGCTGCAGGGGGACCACCAGCCAGCTCTGCTGGGCCCAGGGAGGCTTCCGAGGAGCCAGAGAGCGTGCGGTTTCGAGATGCCAGCACCCACCCGTGCCAGTCCCCAGCCCCTCCTTGTCTGGAGCCGCAGGGCCAAGCAGGGCAAGCCCGGGGGCCGCCCCCCACCCTGCACTGGTGGGGACTGTGGCACCTGTCCCTGAGTCAGCCATGGTCCCTGCACCCTCCAAGTGCCCAGCGTGTCTCTGAGGACTGGAAGCAGCCCAAGCATTCTGTTTCTCACCCTCAGGGACCTTCAGGCTGTGCCTGCCCTGCTCGGGGCCAGAGCTGCCCATTAAAGACTCTGGTTAGACAAGCCGGATCAGAGCCCAGTGCTGGGGCCACGGCCACCTCACCAAGAGGAAGCACCCCCTGCCCTTTGGGCACAGTGCTCATACAGCCACTCTCCGAGGAGGACAGTGGGGGTGGGGTGAGGGGTCTCTCCCTGAGAGATGCTGTAGGCTCTGGGTGGGGCTTCACTCTGCAGCAGGCCCCTGGCCCCATGTAATCCTGTCCACATGCTCAGAGCCCTGTCCACCTTGCTGCTGCCCTGGCTGCAGCCTCACTTCAGCTGCCCTGGGCTCCAAACCTCCACCCAGCCCTCCAAAGGCCAAGCTTCTGCTCATGTGTGGTTCTGCTCTGGGAACCCCTGGACTGTCCTCACCCCAGCTGGACAAAGCTAGGCCCCCTTGCTGATTAGCTGCTCTCCGAATAGGGTCCCAGCAAAGGCCGGTTGTTCTCCGGCCCTTGTCTGCCGCCCAGGAAGCACTGGCAAAGAGACTGAGCCCCCTGGTAGCCTGCACTTGCTGTCTCTGTGTCCAGCCCCACCTGCCCGCCAGGGCCCTGGCAGCCCTCGGATGTGCCTCCACGGGCAGGAGCAGTGATCCCCAGGTCCCTTGGAGGGGTGGGCTCAGGACCTGGGCCCCAAATGGATGAGGTGAGAAGGGGAGCACGGGCCACAGGCCAAGCCGTACCAGACAGAGGCCACAAGGGGCCCTTCCACCAAGGGCCGGGGGGTTGAGGACAGGACCCTGGTCACTGGTGTTACTCCCCAAGGCCACCAGGGGGCAGCCGCCACCCACTGACAGCCACAGGAGGGGAGAGTATGAGGCAGCAGATCAAGGAAGGCAGAGCAGTCCACTCTGCACTCTGGCCCTGGTTCCATGGTCCTGGGCCTGCTGTCCATTACCCCTGCACACCACCCGTCAGCACTGACGGCCAGGTCCCAAGTGTGGGTGGTTCATGTGTGTGTGTAGGCATGGGGGGTAAGTGTGTGTTTGGAAGCCCTGAGCACAGAGGCGCCCTCTTCCAAAGCAGAAGGGCAGGACTCCCGGGCCTGCGGGAGTTGGGGGTGGGAGTCCCAGGGTGTCCTGCCACCACAGCCCACCTGGGAGAATCCCCGTCAGCAGAACGGGCTAAGGTCACGCAGGAGGTCTCAGCACGTGTTAAGTCAATTAATAAAATCATGCTTCAAGAAGGTCATTACCTGATAATCAGGGGTGACAGGTTGGCCAGCCCTGTCCCCAAGGAGTCCCCATCTCGCCTTCTGTGGCTTGTCCAGACCCAAGAGGGTTGGGGGCGAGGCCTGCCCCTGCCTCCTTCAGAGCTGGCTGTGGGCCCCCCAGGCTGTCAGGGAGGGCTCTCCCCTCCAGGTCAGGCAGCCTGGTGCACAGCCTCCCTGCTCTGTGGGCCCCTTGCCCAGCCTGAGCCTTTGTCCCCGGCCCCCCTGCAGCTGTGCCCTCTACGTGGTAGGCCCGTGGCCCACCACCACGAGGTCTCCCTGGTGTCCGCCACAGGGGCTCCCACCTGGAGCCAGGCACACCAGGAGCAGCTCCCCTGCCTGCCACACACCTCTGGTGGCCCTCCCGGCCCTCAGAGGACAAAGCAAGGGAGTTAGGGACCCTGGGCTCGCTAGATGGCCCACAATCCAGCAGTGGGGCTGGGAGCTCCTGGGGTTGGGGCCCTAGCCAGGCAGGGCTGGGCAGAGGGAGCCCCGCTGCGCCCCTGGCACCTGAGGCGCTCTATAGGCAGAAGAGGTCCTCTTTCACCTGGGAACATAGGTGCCGCCCAACAGAGTCCTGCACGGTTGGGGCCCCTGTGAGGGGACAGCCAGAGGCCCTGGGTCTGGGAGGGCCCTGACCCCTTGTCCTCACCCACACATGGCAGTGGCTGCCGCTCAGGGCGTGCAGGGCTGGGATGCACCTCCAGCCTCCCAGGTGACTCCCAGCCACCCAGACGCTGGCTTGGCAGGGGGTGGAGTCCCTGGCTGGCTGCAGGAGGCCTCAGGGGCCAGGACACTTGGCAGAACCCGCCATGCATCCCAACCAGTTGGCCGCGCCCCACAGGGGTCAGAGCTCCTGTCCCTGGGGTGGCAGGCAGCACTCCGGGCACCCGTCCACGGGCCCACCCAGCAGACGGCAGCCCCAGGTGGCACAGGAGGCCGTGGGTTGTGCTGCAAGGGGAGCTGTCCAGGCTGGGAGAGCCTGCCCGGCAGAGGCCTTCCCAAGTAAGCAGCAGCTGCCCTGACAGCCTGGCTCATGCCAGAGCCTGGGTAAGGATGTCCACGCACGTGCCTGGCTCCGACCCTCCACCCTGACATCTCTCTACCTGCTGCCCACACAACTCCTGCCCATTCCTCCTTGGCCTTCCAATCTCCAGGGACAGGTTAGTGTCCCTCCCTGGGGCGGCCTTGTCTGGCCAGACCCCATTTGCAGGTTCTGGCCCAGCCATGTCACCATTTGCCACTGCATGTCAGACGGCCCCTAGGTCATGGGCAAATACCACACTTACAGGTATTCAAGGTGTTCAAGGCCTGTGGACACCTGTGGAGGACATGCTGGTGTCCCACACCTGCTGCCTGGGAGGAGGGGCCGTGCCTAGGAATGTGGAGTGGCAGCAGGGGCTATGCCTCTCCCGCGGTGCCCATGCAGAACCAGGACCAAGGAGCTGGGGAGAGTGTAGGGCTGAGCCCGCGGCGGTGACAGGAGCCTGGCTGTGTGCACGCTGCACTTGGTGAGAGGGACACTTCGTCCTCAGAGTGGATCCAGGGGTGGGAGGTCGAGGTGTGTGTGCAGATCCTTTTTGCTTTGCCAACAGAAAACTGCCGAGAGGGGAAGGAAACTCCGTTTCGCTTGGGTCAGCAGTGAGCGCCGAGATTAATGTGGGGAGAGGGAGCGGGAAAGCCGCGGTGGGGCGGTGGGGGCAGTGGGCAGGGGCGGGGCAAAGGCAGGTGCCAGGAGAGGTGGGGAGGAGTGCCCTCCCACTTGGCCTCCTGCTCACCCCACCCACCCTGTGGGCCCTGGCCAGCTGCGGAGCCGCAGTCCCCTCCCTCACCAGTGCCCTCATCCTGCTCTGCACCCCCCTGGCTCTGGCTGTCTCCGCTGAGCATACTGCTTTGTCCTTTGCCCTCTGATGGCCAGGGATTTGTGAGTTTGCCTGGCGGGCCACCGTGGCCGTGGGGAGGCGGGCTGCCCACCAAGCTCCCACCTGAGAAAGTGGATCCCGTACAGTTCTCTCTGAATAAACAACCATCTGAGGAGGTGGGGCAAAGGTGCCAACTGGCACAGGACCCAGCCAGCCGTGGTTGGTGGTCAGGACCTGGAAGCAGGGCAGCCTTGGGGATGGCGGTCAGCCAGAGTGGGGGGAGGAGAGGGGCAGGAGGGGGTGTAGGGGGGAGGGTCAGAGGGGGGGAGGAGAGGGGGGGGGGGGGGGGGGGGGGGAGGAGGGGGTGGAGGAGCGCTCAGCTGGTCTCCAGGCTGGCGGTGCTGGGTGGCGGGGGGACACACACTGGGCTCAGGCCGCCTGGAGAGAAGGCGATGCTTTCTGAGACTGAGAGTCTGGGTCCTGCCTCAGCTTCCTAGCACCTGGGGGAGGATGAGGAAGCCAATGGTGGCCTCCCTGAATGGCTGGCTCCCACTCCCTGCCCCTCTGGCTCCCCCTGGGAGAAGAAGTGGGATTCTGGGCCTCACTGGCCTGGCCAGAAAGCCACGGGAAGCCCCAGTGACCAGTGGGGGCAGGGCCAGGACTCTCCCGTGCCACCCCACGTAGACTGCACTCCTGGGACCTCCCAAGCTCTCAGCATGTCTGCAGAGGGACTCCTGGGGGTAGAGGAGACCCTGGGGCTTGGCTCCCTCAGAGGGACAAGGGGGAAGGAGTCCTTGTCCCTGCCCAGAGAGCAAAGGACACCAGCCCAGCCCATGGGTCCAGAGAAAACTCACGAAGGCCATCCCGAACCACCGCCACATGGCCCTCAGGACTCAGGGAAGTCACAGCCACCCCCACTGGGTTCAGGAGGAGCAGGCCACAACCCACGGATGGCAGCACCACCCTGCTGACCTGGACTGGGCGTGGGGTCAGACAGGAGGCCCCAGCCCCAGCCCACCTACTCCTGCAGCTCCTTCCCCATCTCCCCAGTGGTGGCCGCACACAGTGCTCCGGCTGCCCGGCCTGGCCCTGCCGCCCCTCCCCGCGGCCCTCAGCTCTCCTGTCCCTGACCTCAGTCTGTCACCCAGCCACCATCGCCCCATCTCCATCCCCACCGCCACTCAGGTCAGCAGGAACCCCTTTACCACCAGCACCAATGTCACCATCGTCACCGTCCCCAGCCTGGGCCTGGGCAGCCATCAGGCAGTGACTCCAAGAAGAGGAGAGGTAGGGGAGGAGCAGGGGTCAGCTCAAGTGAACCTGCAGTTCCTGAGCTTCCAGTGGGCACCAGAGGGCAGCGTCCAGGACGCTGTCAGACGCGTGCTCCATGGCTAAACAGAGAGCCAGGCCTGAGGGTCTCCTGAAGCCAGGAAGAGGGCAGTGGGACGGGAGCAGAGGGGACAGCCTAGGGACCTGGGAGAGGGTTGGGGAAACCCAGGGGAGGAGGGCAGAAGAGATGAGAAGAGGGCTGGAGGAGGCCAGCTCTGCCCCATCCAGGGCAGGCCTGCACCCCTGAGGGCCCCAGTGGACACAGGGCAGCAGGGTGGAGACAGCAGCGGCTATCCCCTGGTTGTGCCCGGGCTAGGCGCGGCTAGGTCCTCCCCGTGGGAAGAGCCCTGGGCTGGTGGGGGAGGCACCCCTGGTCAGAGGTCTGCAGGAAACACTCACCCTCCCCCTGGCCTGCCCAGGGCCTGCAGGGGCACTCACTCTGGGGAGAGCACCCCCTGGCAGCCTGGGCCGA